TGCGCGTCTGTGTATGTGTATGTGTATGTGTATGTGTATGTGTATGTGTATGTGTATGTGTATGTGTATGTGTATGTGTATGTGTATGTGTATGTGTATGTGTATGTGTATGTGTATGTGTATGTGTATGTGTATGTGTGTGTGTGTGTGTGTGTGTGTTGCAGCTTTGCCCACTTCACCAGTGGAAAATTGCACAGCAGCAGAGATGAGTGTGGCGTCTTCCTCTGCTCACTAATGTGTGAAGCCCACGTTCCTCAGAAGGTCTCTGCCTGCGGCCTGATAAATGACTGTGGTAAATCCCCACATACAGCAGCGAGACGCACGTTATATTGTGCTGCTGGTGCGTTTAAATAGAACAATCTCAACATCCCCCTACGAACAGCTCCATGCGTTCATGAGCACAGGATGTTGTGGGACGGTGTTTGTGGTGGTATATATATAAATATAGGAAGGCTTTTTTTGCTCACCAGAGCTGCATTTATTTTATTGAAGATGCATTAAAAATGGTGAAATATTATTATAAGTTCAAACAGCTGTTTTCTATGTGAATATCTGTTAAACTGTAATTTATTTCTGTGATGCACAGCTGTATTTTCAGCATCATTACTCGTCTTCAGTGTCACATGATCTTCAGAAATCATTCTAATATGCTGATTTGCTGCTCAACTAACATTTCTGATTATTATCACACATTAAATCTTGTTTTATGAGCGGATTTGTGTTTCGCGTTAAATCATGTGATTGATCCGAGTGTTGGTTCTCGTCTTTCTCCAGGTTCAGGATGAAGGGTGGAGGTTTGGCAGGGAGCTGCAGCCCCTGCTAGATTCCCCGCCTCACCTTCATCATCATCATCATCATGGCCAGTCACCTGGAGCTGCTGATGGAGCTGCAGCAGCTGGATAAGGTGCCCAGTCTGGAACGGCTCAGAGCCGCGCAGAAGCGTCGCACGCAGCAGCTCAAGCGATGGGCCGTCTACGAGAAAGAAATGCAGAACAAGAAGCGCAAGGGCGACAAACGCCGCGGCCACTGGAACCTGCGGGAAAACCGCAAAAGGGTTTCGTTTGCGGCGAGCATCGCTCTGCTGGAGGCCTCGTCGAGGAACGATCCGGATGAAGGTGAGGCTGTGTAATCTAGGGTTTTTAGTAGGGATGCACAATATTGGATTTTTGCCGATATCCGATATGCCGATATTTTTCACCTCATTTTGGTCGATACCGATACCGATATATTTCCTTTTGTTTGGAAACAACACCAAGTCTCTCCTGTGCAGAAATTATAAGCAAAATATTTTTAATTTTGGTTAGTTTTTAACAAGAACTTATTTGTTAGAATTAAATAAACAATTATGAAGGTTTTTTGACAGTACATTGAAGCTTCGAAAATAACTATAAATAAACTATATATCAATCGCTGCATTTTTTCCCCATAAAATGTAACATTTGTAGATGGTCTAAAGCAAAAGAGTTGCAAAAATTCTGAAAATCTTTTAGAGCTTATGATTTGTTTAAAAATAAAACATATTACACATTAATGAATAAATCAGTATATGTAAAATTATTTAATTTACAAGTGTCATGTTTCTGATTTTTTTTTCATGTAAGCTATAGCTTCTGACCTTTAAATCAAAACATACTCATTATTTTATGACATCAATTACTGCTTTATTTAATCAGAAACACAGTCTAAATGTTATTTGTATTTTACTTTTAATTTAATTAGAAGTAGGCCAACAGTGCCCCCTACAGATTAAAACGCCTTACCGAACAGGCGTTAGGACTCTGCACGTGCTATTACTGTTTAATCTATCATACAACGAACGCATCATTCTGTACGTGCTTTCACAGATTAAATGCAGCGATCCAAAAGAGTTGACCAAAGAGTTTCTATATTTTTCCTGTTTAAAACTTGACTCTTCTGTAGTTACATCGTGTACTGAGACCGACGGAAAATGAAAAGTTGCGATTTTCTAGGCCGATATGGCTAGGAACTATACTCTCATTCCGGCGTAATAATCAAGGAATGCATTGCTAAGAACTTCATTTGGACAACTTTAAAGATGATTTTCTCAATATTTAGATTTTTTTGCACCCTCAGATTCCAGATTTTCAAATAGTTGTATCTCAGCCAAATATTGTCCTATCCTAACAAACCATACATCAATGGAAAGCTTAGCTTTCAGCTTTCAGATGATGCATACATCTCAATTTAGAAAAATTGACCCTTTTGACTGGTTTTGTGCTCCAGGGTCACATTTGTCCGATTCTCGATTTTTACGATTTTTAACTAGTCAACATGATTCAAGCAACTTTTTCTTTAATAACCCTCTAGTTAAAGAAATTCCTATTTCAAGTGCACCACACATGCTGTAAATGTTAAATCACTTGTTAAATATCTTTGCAGAAAAGATGCATAAACTACAACTACATCTTGTACAAACTTGTCTTATACATATTATATGTTCAGAAATAATACAAGGAAAATGCTTCAAAAATCTCAAAAGTCAAGGTTATTCAAATTCAGAATGACTGAAGGTATAACAGCAGTAGACTATTATTAACCATAAATGTTCTGTAAAAATAATCAACAGTCAATCTTTCATTTCTCTTTACTTTTAACATTGGCATACTGTCAAAGTGTCTAATTCTAACCTTTGGTAATATTTCTATTCAAAATCGTGATTCCTTGATTTATAAAAAATGTAATCATGGCAAACCATTACAATTTAAAATTAAATTGTTTGTGTGTTAAATATAACAAGCCACGAAAGGTTTAGGGATCGTTTTGCACACAATTTGAAACTTTCCTGAAAGTTCCGTCGTCATAATAATAAATAATAAAATAATAATAAACTAGACAATTACATTTGCAGATGCACATACTTTGTGCTCAAAATGAGCCTAAAATGCAAAATAATAAACTTAATTAGGGATAGTAAAGATCCATTTTCAAAAGCATAAACATAAAGCAACACTTGAAATATTGTAATTACTGTATGCTCACAGTTTGTGAAAAATGTTACAGTTAGAAAATATTTGTTAAATACTGTTTTATTTATATGTTCTGTAATGTGGATTTGTAAAGTCATTGTTTTGTTATAATATAACACTTTTTTGTTCTGTTTGCTGTTTGCAATAGTTACTGTTTACTATTTTTAATAGTGTGATTTTTGGTGAGTTGTATTAAAGCTAGGGCCAGTTTGACCCACAAACATCTTTATATTTATTAATTATTATATTAGTATATGGAACCCACAACGCAATTCAAAATATTGGAGAGCTTTGTTTCTCACGCCCTTCCTCCTCAGACTCAACACAATTTGATGAATTGATTTATCTGTATTTAATATTCCTCAGCTCATAGAGCTTTTTAGATGGATGCCGAAGCGTTTTAAGTCGGGTAGAGTCTGTGATTTCTGACCCAGTTCATTTGCTGGATTCCATGGCTGCAATATGCTGTGTTTTCTGCCAAACTGTGGTGTCAAAATCCTATTGGGTAAATTGGCAGTGGGCGGAGTCACACAGACCAAAACAAAAAACAGACATTCTGACAAGGAATGCACATTTCAAATCAGAATATCTGTTTTTCAGAGATGTGAGCATGCTTCCTAAATATCTGCATACATATTATGGTGTTTTTATTCTTCAGTACAGTCAACACCTTTAATGTAACACATTATGTACAGCACCTTTAATGTAACGCGACCAAATGCAATGTGATTGAGATCTTTCTCATCTTTTGGAGTTCACTATCAAACATCTAATGGGCTGAAATGCTCACATTTATTTGCTGGATAAAGCAAAGCTGCTAATATGTTTGAGGTTTTTAGAGGATGTTCGGTCGTTTACGTTTCTGCTTATTCTGGTCATGGAAGAGAAGCCGTTTGTGGGTGTTTTTGATGCTTGACGTATTTTTATAATTCTGACTCATTCCCTGAAACTTTCCTCATTTACTGCGCTTCACACATCAGTTAATTCAATAATGAGGAGATAAAATCACGCTCGTTAGGCTGTTGTCATCTCATATTTACTAATCACATTAAGCGTCGGTAAAGTGGGTCGTAACCTCAGAGATACCGTGGTAAATGAGCAGCTGCTGACGGATGCGTAACAGATCTGCTCTCAGACTGACAGAAATGATGACAAAACCTGCCAGTGTAAAGACACAGAGATGCAAGAAAGAACACACCAATCGCAATTAATTATGCAAATAAATGCAGTATGCATTTAATGATGTCATCACAGCTGTCAATCATTCTCTTAATGAAAAACTTGAATCTTAAAGGTGCAGTTTGCATTTGTCACATGACAAACCACAAGATGCTATTATAGTTTTTATTAATATTTTAAATCAATTTTAGTAAAATAGTAATATATTTCTTGTTTTGTTGTAATATATTCATTATTATAATCATTATAATAATAATAATAATAATATTAAAGTATAAAATACATATAACAAAATAAATATAAGAAATAAAATAATAATTAAGTATATTTATGTAACACATAAATACATTCAAATAAATAAAATAATAAAGTATATTATTATATTTATAATATTATTACAACAGTAATAATACTATAAATATAACAGTATTATTTGTATATAATAGTATACTCATAATAATAATTATATTTAAGTATAAAAAAATATAAATATATAATATATAAATACATAAAAATAAATAAAATAATAATTAAGTATACTATTATATTTATATAATATATAAATACATAAGAATAAATCAAATAATAATAATTAAGTATATTATTAATTAGTATTTTGAAGTAATGTTGTTAACAGTTTTTTTTTTTTGGCTAAATTTTGCATCCCTACATAAAACCAGGAGCTCTTTAAAAAAAAACATTTAAATTGCAATTGCAG